TGTGTTATAATCAGTATCAGCATACTGGAGGGCCCGTGTATTATAATTAGTATCAGCGTACTGGAAAGCCCGTGTGTTATAATCAGTATCAGCGTACCTGAAGGCCCGTGTGTTATAGTCAGTGTCAGCGTACTGGAAGGCCCGTGTGTTATAATCAGTAGCAGCGTACCGGAAGGCCTGTGTGTTATAATCAATATCAGTGTTCCGGAAGGCCCATGTGTTGTAATCAGTATCAACGTACTGGAAAGCCCGTGTGTTATAATCAGTATCAGCGTACTGAAAGGCCTGTGTGTTATAATCAGTATCACTGTACTGGACAGCCTGTGTGTTGTCCTCATTATCACTGTACTGGACGGCCTGTGTGTTGTCCTCATTATCACTGTACTGGACGGCCTGTGTGTTGTCCTCATTATCACTGTACTGGACGGCCTGTGTGTTGTCCTCAGTATCACTGTATTGGACGGCCTGTCTGTTGTCCTCAGTATCACTGTACTGGAAGGCCTGTGTATTATTGGTATCAATATACTGGAAAGTCTGGGTGTTGTTGATATTATCAGTGTACTGGAAAATCTTGGTGTTGTCAATAGTATCAGAGTATTGAGAAGTTTGGGTGTTGTCAGTAAAATCTGCGTACTGGAAACTTTGAATATAATCTTTAGTCTCAGTGTTTTCTATATCTTGGCTATTTTCTCTTGTCATGCAGACTGGTGAAGTTGGACTGTAACTTTCAGAATAAGAGACAGAATTTTCATGAATGAATCGTCTCGGTCTCTGGAGTTTACGTCTTTTAGACATCAGGTGATTGTATTTTCTGGACACAGATGCAAAAGGCTTCATAATAAAAAAAAAAGAGAAATAAACAGAATAGTCAGGACATTACAGATTCTATGCAACATTATTTTATATTGGAAAAATTCTGTTCTATTTTGATCAAAAGATTTTTATTCTTCTGGCCTACATTCTAATTGATGTGTACTCTATAGATACAAATATAAAAATACTCACTGTCACCACAGCAAGCTCTACTTTGCTGCCCAGTTGAGATAACATAAAGGAGAAGAGAGTTTAAGAATAGGCAATAGAAGCTTCACTTAACAGTTGAGTTGGGGGCCCACTTTCTTGAATATTGCAGCCAATCAGGGGCAGGACTACCTCTCCTTCTCTCATGACCTTGGAGCCAGTTCTCCCCATGAGCAAGAGGTGTGCGGGGGAGAGGTATCACTTCAGTGCCTATGCTGGGCAAGCTCTACTGAGCTCATGCACTCATAGTATGAGTGGTTCACCCACGTCCCTGCCACCAAGGGTATAGGTACAGATGAGCCAGCCTGAAAGTATGAGCACTGAAGAGCTGACCCCACCCGCTGCAGGCTGCAGCACTGGGTGAGCTAGCTGGGGCAGTGCTAGAGAGCTTGCTCTAGTGGTGCAGGTGTAGTAGAGCTGACAAACTCAGCTACCACCCAGTCCCCCAGGTCCATGGCTTTGAGTTGGCCCACCCCAAAATCTATTTCATCTATGAACTGTTTGAGCTTGTAAAAGGGCCAGTCCTGCAAATCCAAAGCTGCAGGATCTCCATGACACAGGAAAACAACAGAATAACCAAAAAGAGTCCTCATGAGGATCCAATATTGATGGTATAGCAGAAACCAGAGGCCTAGAGCCAGACCAATGATTCATTGCAATAAATATTTGCAAGTAAAGATGTATGGGCAAAGGGGTATACTGCGGGACACTCTGTGATGTGCGTCCAGCTTTCACAACGAGATGTTTTCTATGCTTCATTTTGTTCATTTTTTATTTTTGTTTTTATTTTCTTTGGGAAGTAGGTTGCAAGGGCAGAAAGTGGATACTAAGGGTCAGGGAGATGAGTGGGACTGGGGTGCATGATGTAAAACTCACGAAGAATCTATAAAAAGTCTATTAAAAAACCTCATTGTCCTACATTCATTAATTCTGAACTTAAGCATTCTTTCAAAAAGAGTTGTAGTCCTCATCTGCTCTACTCCTCCAGCAAGTACAGATAAGCCTTTCTAATCCCACATTTACTAGTTCTCTGTCACTTTGAAATGACTGGCGGCTTTAGACAGAAAATATTTATTAAAGTTGTAATAATGTTTTTGAACACTTACAGTATAATACCAGTAGGATCTGGCACGAAAGCGATAAATTTTCTTTACTTTTTCATCAATGTTACCAAACTTCTTTTCCAGTTTTTGAACACTTTTATATATGCCCTGTTGTAAGAAAATGTATTTGTAGTTACTGTTTCAAAGGAAAAGAAACAACATGTATGAAAATACACGAAGCCAAGACTTAACTGCTAGGCACAATGGAAGGTCTACAGTAGTCTGAAACATCACTTTTTTGTTTGTTGGTTTGTTTTGTTTTTGAGGCCTGGCTTTAAGGTACATGGTACACAGAAGGTGACTGAATCACAGCTGCTGAAAACCTTCCACCCATGTGTGCTGCAGCCACTTCCCACTGAAAAGGGTACTAACTTAGGAGAGAAGTATTCAAATATGCTAACAATAAGAGTTTACTTGCGGGGGAGGAGGGCTGGAAAGATGGCTCATCGGTTAAGAGTACTAACTGCTCTTCCAGAGGACCCGGATTCAATTCCCAGAACCCACATGGCATCTCACAACTGTTATTCCTGTTACAGGGGGTCCAACACCCTCGCATAGACATAAAAGCAGTCAAACACCAATGTATATAAAATAAAAAATAAATTAGTAAAAAAGTTACCTTTTACACCACAGTTTGTAAAAGAAATAGGCAGTGAGTGTTTTGCAAATAAAACATATGTGATGTTGGGCTCCAAACTATTCTAAAAATTAAACAGCTAGCAATGATCTCACAATGCCACTAAGTATACCTTACATGCCATACAAATGAGGAACACCACGGATAACATGCTCAGAGTTTTTCTTGAAATGCTCAGAAATTTTAGGGAACATATTTATAAAAGACCAGAAACATTTCTTCATCCAACTATAAATGCCTTCCTCCTTTCAGAACTACTTTGCTAGATGCTGGGTCCATGAACCTTAAAAACCAGCAAGCAAGCAAACAAACAAACAACAACAAAATAAAAACATACAATAGAAAACTTTCCTGGAGAAGTGTCCTTATCTGAAGAGAGCTACAATTACAGTGATCATTTCAGCAGAATAACTGACCAGAAGCCTGGGACAGTAGCTCTCAAAATGTGCTCTGTAGAGCCCAGTACCAATGGATACATCTAAAATAACTCTTGTGCCTGAGGCTCAGGGAACATGGTGAGAAATGAGGCAGAAAGATTTTAACAGCCAGAGCACCAGGGAGTTTGTTGTGCCTCTGTGTCTCCTAGTAATGCCAGAAGCCATAATCATAAGTGTCACCAACATTACTACCTAAACATCAACTTAACAAAAAGGACACTAACAGACATGCCAAAGTGGATGGGGGAAAGCTCATGAGGACTCAACCCTGCATAAAGAACAACAAGCAACCAAGGAATGCTGAGAGTCTGAGAACTAGTCTTCACCAGGGAAGAGTACACCAATTGGTTCTCTTGTGCCAAATGGTCAGCACTGAAAACATGCATACAACTAATACTGCATAGACTGAACAGTTTGTATTTAGGGATAAAGCAACTGGTGAAAAAAGATATCATAAATGTATGTATGTATGTATGTATATACATATACACGTAATAGCAATTGATGAAAAAAGGGCATAAATTTGAAAAAGAGCCAGAAGGTGTATATAGGAGGGTTTGGACAGAGGAAAAGGAAAGTGACAATGTTGTAATTATGTTAGAATGTCCACAAAATAGTAAAAAAAAAAAAATACTTTCACTGAATAATAATAGACTCCTTTGTTTCTCTCTCTCTCTCTCTCTCTCTCTCTCTCTCTCTCTCTCTATGTAGCCCCAGCTAGCCTCAAACTAACTATATAGATCAAGCTAGCCTTGAACTTGTGACAATCCTCCTGCCTCTGTCTTCAAAAGTACTGAAATTACATACTGTTGTTACCATTATCATATATCACACAGGTAAGGAGGATATGTCAGCATACTCATCAAAATGAAGTGAGAGGATTTTCAAGGGCCCCTTGAGGGCACAGATTGGGAACAGAGGCACTGCTCATCTGCAATCCATATCTCATTCAACTTGGTCTCCTAGATGAATACTCCATCCTAGGCTCCAGGGTTGCCAATATTTGGACACTGCAGGTCAGGCAGCCTTAAAATGCTTCCCCCTTTTCTGCACAATCTTAAGACCAAGACCTGCCAGCATGGCTTGTGTTCTCACTAGTGTCAGTCCAAAAGAACTTTTACTTTTCAAACTATGTCAGTTCAGTCTGTTCTGCAAACCTTATGGATAAGAACCATTTTAATGAACTTCTATTGCCTCTGGAGTATACAGGTCACAAAATCCACAGTAATTAAACCTCTATCAGTCCCTAATCACAAGTTTATTTTTATGGTTTTCCATCAAAACTATATAAGATATATTCTTTGTAAAACATGAGTAGATAATCTTAATATGTAATTAACTAGGTACATACTAAAACTGTATCCAAACCTTCCATTTTCCTTTAAAAGTTTTATAGTAGAAATTAATATTGGGCAATACACATGGAAAAGACATAAATATACTTGATCAATAATGTTTTAATGTTCTAAAATTCACCTGTTGGTATTTCAAATTTTCACCTGAAAATAAGTACAAACTGTCAAAAGACCATCCTGAGTGAGGTATCCCAGAAGCAGAAAGACACACACAGTATATACTCACTTATAAGTGGCTACTAGACCAAAAAGATAGGATAAACATACTAAAATCTGTACACCTAAAGAAGCTAAGCAAGAAGGAGGACCCAGGGTAAGATGCTCAATCTTCACTTAGAAAGACAAATAGGATGGACATTAGAAGTAGGAGAAAACAAGGAACAAGACAGGAGCCTACCATAGAGGGCCTCTGAAAGATTCTACCTAGCAGTGTATCAAAGCAGATGCTGAGATTCATAACCAAACCTTGGGCAGAGTGCAGGGAATCTTATGAAAGAAGGGGGAGTTAGTAAGACCTGGAGAAGACAGGAACTCCACAAGGACCAAATATATCTGGGCACAGGGGTCTTTTCTGAGGACCATGCATAGATACATAACCTAGAACCCCTGCACAGATGTAGCCCATGGCAGGTCAGTATCCAAGTGGGTTCCACAGTAAGGGGAACAGGGACTGTCTCTGACAAGAACTCAGTGGCTTGCTCTTTGTCCCCCCCACGAGGGAGGAGCAGCCTTTTTAGGCCACAGGGAGGATATTGCAGCCAGTCCTGATGAGACCTGATAAGCTAGGGTCAGATGGAAGGGGAGGAGGACCTCCCCTATCAGTGGACTTAGAGAGGGGCAGGGAGGAGATGAAGGAGGGAGGGTGGGATTGGGTGAGAATGAGGGAGGGGTTACAGCTGAGATACAAAGTATATAAACTATAATTAATATAAAAATTTTTAATTAGAAAATAAAATGGTTATGAAAAATTAAAAAATAATCACAATGAGGTGAATAATCACAAGTAATCTGATACAGCAAAATTTCAATTAACTATACAATTCCCCCTTATATAAGAAATGTTTACAGTTTAACATTCTAGAAAAACACTCTGGTAAAAAAAAGAGAGAGAGAGAGAAGCACCATACCTGACAGTAGTTCAGGACAGTAGCAACAGATTTTGGTTCTTCAATTTCACGAATTTTAGATGGTGAAGGTCCGTTCTAGAATAATTTTTACACCACAAGTAGTTAGTGCTTTATTTCCATAAGAGTCACATTGATTAGTGACCACACTTTATCTATTTAAGCTGTTTTTTTTCCACCAATCTTTCAAAAGTCTTAATTAAAGCAGACATGAAATAAAAATTCATGTCATAGGGAATGGAAATAATTGCCAGTCAAGTGAGGGAGGAAAAAAAAAGACTTTACCAGAAAAATTTAGGTTTAGAATTCCAGTAAAAATTTGCTCAGAATATCCTAGTACATAAGACAAAGGAAGATGTAAAATGGCTGAGATCTCACTGTCTAAAGAGAGTTAGGATAAAGTATGCCCTTGAGTGTAACTTTAGAGGAACTCCATACTGTATTCAGATTTTAAACCTTTCTCTTTAAAATTGTAAATAGTGTATGGGACACTAGTTGCTTAATATTACCTACATTACTGAAATGTACAGTCTTTGGTGCATAGTCATAAAGCATATTATCATTACAATCCTAAGGAGATAATTCATATCCTTATAGAAGAAAGATTTCTTAGTAAATTAAAAGGAAGGATCAAATAACAAAGAGAAAAGCTGAGGGCTTTAAATCTCAGAAGCTTTGAAAATCTAATGTGTTATCAAAAGACCTTTGCCTATTTTAAAAAGCAGACCTATATAGAAAAGTATATGTGAGTCAGACATGGTAACACATCTCCGCAATACAAAAACTCAAAAAGCTAAGGCAGGAGGATGCTGAGGTGAAGACATCCTAGATAGGCCAAGGACATTGTCTCAGTAAACAAGAGAAAACATGCATGCAGAACTATGCTCTCATTAGTCCAGCTACATCAGAGACCCCCCCCTTCCATAAAGCTTAACATATTCTGTACTTAAATGCAAAGACATTAGTCTTCAATGTTTAAACTTATTTTAAAACCAAACCAAACAAACAAAAAACCCACAATAATGAAACTAACCATGACCAGAGCACTACACTAGTTTTGATTCCTAAACAATCTAATAGTGCCACCATGTGGCTAATTTAGAAAATGCTTAAGCACTGCTTATTCTTGATCAATTAATTTCTAAAACACTTTAAGACAGGGTATTAGTAAGTTACCAAAAATAACTGCTACAATTAAGCAAAGTAAGTATTCTAATAATACATTATGAAATGAGGGAATTTTAAAGTAAACAGACTTGGTATCTATACGTGTTTGTTTTAAATACACGATACAGATAAACCTGAATTAGCCTCCACTGATTAGGTTACTAAAATAACATACAGTTGGGTTATATAAAACCTCTTACAAAATATAGTAGTTTACCTTCACATGGTAGCTTATAAATATTCTCTAAAATGGCTCTCAATAATTGACAGCATTGTCACAATGATGAAAATATCTCAGTTGATTGAGGTTGAAAGTTGACTAGATTATTTCAATGACATTAATATACATGTCCTTATATGGCTAAATGTGTTCACTGCTAGACCAAATCATATATAGTTTAATAATTTATATGTGTGTTCAACTTGAAAAATTAAGAAACTCAGCAGAATACAACGGAAATTTTTAAAGGCAAACTAATTTGGAATGCTGTTTGTCTGATTCTCATAAAGCTGAGTTCTCTACCAACTCTAGAAGTTTGCAATTCAATTTCAGAGTACCCAGGAGATACGTTAAGTATGCGTTCTTAAATTTTTACACAAATGCTCATAGAAACCTTACAGAGCATTACCAAAACTGAACTTATTACCCATATATTTCACTTTATGTAATTTAACTCAGTTCAGCAAAAGCTGTAGCATAATTAAAAGAACAGAGATGATCAATTTAAAATATAAACCCCATCCATTTCTCTGATTGCAGATCATTACTGTGCAACAAGAGAATTCCACTTCCTCTGAGTGTTTTCTTGTGAAACTACTTAGTCACCTAAGAAGCAAACCTTCTACTTCTGAAAAGAAATGCATAAAAATGTTACTTCATGTACCTAATATCTAAATCAACTTAACATGGGCAACTTTATGAGGCTGAGGGTGGAACCTAGGATCTTATGCATATTAGGCAAGTGCCTTGCCACTAAACTACATTCCCAGCAGTAGAATAAATCTTTATGCATAGAAGAGCTATAATATCCATGACTGGGAACTCACAGTTAAAAGCAAGTGCAATCTGTGAACATTCTACGAAGAAAGTGCTTAAAAACTACTGAACAGAAGAATATACTGCTAACACTTTTGTAAAGGGGCTCAAAGGAGCTTTTTGCTTAGGGCAGCAGAATGGCACCAAACTCTGCCCCAGGAATCCGTTATGATATGAAGGCAGATGCCACTACCACTGCCACCCTTGACACCAATGCTACTGCTTCTGTTGCCTTGGTCACTATTGTCTTTGCTGCCGACACTGCCATGGGTGCTGTTTTCACCGCCACTTCAACTCCATCTCTGGTGCCTCTATTACTACTACTACTGCTAGGCTGTTACTGCTGCTGGTCATGGTGGTGCTATTGCTGGTCATGCTTTTGCTGCTGCAATGTGGGACGACTTATAAAATAATTTTAGAAAGTTTATGGCTGCAATAAATACTTTTGTGGACTTCCAGATGCCTCACTAGGAGACAGGTGTGAGACAGACTTGTGTCTTCAAGATAAGCCTTCATTATGAATCCTGGTATACACCATAAATATAAGCAAGTAGCTTTAAACTTCCCATGAACCCAAATTATAATGGAATAACAAAGAATGTTTAATTAAATACAAACCTTGATGTCATTATATACAAACTGTTCTATTGTACTTCCTTATTACTTGTCATCTTATGGAATTATATACTGTCATTTTAAATTTACTTTGTTTCTTGGAATGAAAGACAGATAAGATTATCGTCCCAAAAATAGCTGAAAATGTGTAGGGAGGTCAGTCTTAATTGAAAAGACATATATTCTTGTAACTTTTAGACCTTATTAACTTTTAGGCCTTGTCAACCTTTGTCACTCTGAACTCACTATGAACTTATGTAATGGATACATAAATAAGAAATATTTAGTTCTAAAACATGTAACCTGTTTTTATTTTAGCATTCAGATGTTTTTATGATTAAATGCCATTTTGACTATGAGGTAATTCCTTTTCTGGGAGCTTTGTCTCAGAGGTGTAACATAAACAGTGGCAGAACACACACACCATTGGCAGAAGTCAGGTGGTAGAAGCCCATTAAATGAAAGCTGCCTGGAATTCACTTCATCCATGAGTTTCAATATGTATATAGATATGTGTTTACATCTAAATATATTTATCTATTTGTCTGTCTTTGTACATATGTTATATGAGTGTATGTCAGTTGTCTGTCTATATAAGAAGCTTCTTTTGTATTGTCCATTGAATGTTTTATGAACATACACAGGTCTGCAGGTCTGATTGTTCATCTGTGTATATATATATGAACTGATGCCATGGAACCAGCAGCCTAAACTTACTGCAGTTTCTGCACAGGGCATGATAGCAGAAATCTACGTCATCATCATATGTAAACTTGTGGAAATTCATTGAAGTTAAAATCTTAACTTCATCTACCCATTTCCATTGAGCATGTGTGCATGAATGCTCTTTGCTTACTTTCTCCCCTTGTTTCTTTTCTTACCAATTTACAAACAGGTTAGCAGCGATTTAGGGTCTAACTATCAGCCTAGGACAAGCAGAAAAAATTTACCTTAGCCTGTGGAAGCCTCTGCGGGAGGTCTGCCCTGCAGGAGCTAATCTCAATCAAAGAGCCTCTTTTTCACAACCCCTTGCCTTGTTGGCTAGAAGCTGCCTTTTACAGTCCTGGCTGCAGGGAAAAGGTGACCAGTTAAATTTTTCGTCCCTCAAAAAAATAAAAAATAAAACAACAACATAAAAAAAAAAACCTTCCCTCGAAGCAGTAGAGTAATCCCTCGATCTAGAGAAGGAATCCTAGGCTCCCTGCCCTATTCCTTTTTCTTTCAATCATCTTTCTTGATTGGTTGCTGATAGGTCACCTGAATGACCCAACAGATAAAACAAAGGGGAACTCTGCATCCAGTTTCGGATTCTACCCTGGACCCTGAACTTTGCCAAAGCAGCGAGACACTTTGACATTCAGTCCCTAGAAGACTTAACAGCACAGCTTACAGTAACTACAATGGCTGGAAATTACCTTTTACGCTAAAACTTCTTAAAACACACAAAATACGATTTTACAAAGCTACTCCAAAGCAGGCCAAATCCAACAGATCAAACTGGGAAAATTACCGGCCATCATCATATCCCATAAGGCATAGCTTAGAATGACTAGAATAGTTGAAAACTACTTTACATATTCTAAAATTTCTTTAAAACACAAAACACAGATGATAACAGTGACTAACGTACACCATATCTGAGGGACAGAGGATCTGAAACTCCGAAATCGCACCTCATGGAACCTTCTCCAAAATAGACCATATAGTTGGTCACAAAGCAAGAAGCCTCAACAAATACAAGAAGATTGAAATGATCTCTTGTATTCTATTTGACCACCATGGACTAAAGCTGGACCTCAACAACAACAGAAATAGCAACAAGCTTACATACACATGTAAACTGAACAACTCCCTACTCAATGACAGATGGGTTAGGGAAAAATAAAGAAATTAAAGACTTCCTAGAATTCAATGAAAATGAAAGCACAACATAGCCAAACTTATGAGACACAATGAAAGCAGTGCCAAGAGGAAAATTCATAGCACTAAGTGCCTTCAAAAAGAAATTTGAAGCATCTCATACAAGCAACTTAAAGGCCCATCTGAAAGCCCTAAAAAAAAAAAGCCCTAAAAAACAAAACAAAACAAAACAAAACAAAAAAACCAGATACACGCATACATGCAAGAGGTGCATAGAACTGGAAATAATCAAACTCAGGGCTGAAATCAATAAATTAGAATCAAATAAAACAGATGCAATGCAATTCCCATCAAAATACCAACACAATTCATTTCAGACCTTGAAAGAAAAATTCTCAAATTGATATGGAAAAACAAACAAACAAACAAAAAACCCAGATTTGCCAAAACTGCCCTGTACAACAAGGGATCGTCTGGAGGTATCTCCTTCCCTGATCTCAAGCTGTACCACAGAGTAATAGTAATAAAAACTGTATGGTACTGGCATAGAAACAGAATGGTGGATCAATGGAATCGAACAGAAGTCCCAGAAATAAACCACACACCTAGGGATAGTTGATTTTTGACAAAGAAGCAAAAACCATACAATGGAAAAAGACAGCATCTTCAACTAATGCTGCTGGTCTAACTGGATTCCTGCATGTAGAAAAATGCAAATAGAGCCATATTTATCACCCCGCACAAAACTAAAGTCCAAATGGATCAAAGACCTCAACATAAAACCAGACACACTAAATCTGTTAGAAGAAAAAGTGGGGAAGAGCCTTGAACTCATTGGCACAGGAGAAGGCAAATTCCTGAAAAGAATACCAATAGCACAGGCTCAACAATCAATAAATGGGACCTCATGAAACTGAAAAGCTTTTGTAAAGCAAAGGACACTGTCATCAGAAAAAAACAACAGCCTACATACTGGAAAAGGATGTTCACCAAACCTATATCTGACAGAAGGCTAATATCCAGAATATATAAAGAACTCAAGAAGTTAAAAAGCAGCAAATCAATAATACAATTTAAAAATGGGCTACAGAGCCAAACAGAGAATTCTCAATAGAGGAATATAGAATAGCAGAGAAACAATTAAGGAAATGCTCAATGTCCTTAGTCACTAGGGAAATGCAAATCAAAACGACCCTGATTTCACTTTACACCCACCCAAAAACTCAAGTGACAATACATGCTGGAGAGGATGTGGAGAAAGGGGAACCCTCCTCCATTGCTGGTGGGAATGTTAACTTGTACAACCTACTGGGAAATCAATCTGGCACTTTCTCAGACAAGTAGGAATAGTGCTACCTCAAGATCCAGCTATACCACTCCTAGGCATGTATCCAAAATATGCTCAAGTACACAATAAGGACATTTGCTTAACCATGTTCACAGCAGCTTTATTTGTAATAGCCAGAAGCTGGAAACAACCCAGATGTCCCTAAACTGAGGAATGGATACAGAAATGGTGGTACATTTACAAAACGGAATACTACTCAGCAATTAAAAACAAGGAAATCATGAAATTTGTAGGCAAATGGTGAGAATTAGAAATGATCATCCTGAGTGAGCTATCCCAGAAGCAGAAAGACACACACAGTATATACTCACTTATAAGTGGATATTAGCTGTATAATATAGCATAATCATACTAAAACTGTACACCTAAAGAAGCTAATCAAGAAGGAGAACCCTGGGTAAGATGATCAACCCTTCCTCAGAAAGACAAATGGGATGGACATTGGAATAAGGAGAAAATAGGAAACAGGACAAGAGCCTACCACAGAAGGCTTCTTAAAGACTCTACTCAGTAGATGCTGAGACTCATAACCAAACTTCAGGCAGAGTGCAGGGCACCTTATGAAAGCAGGGGGAGATAGTAAGACCTAGAGAGGACAGGAGCTCCACAAGGAGAGCAACAGTACCAAAATATCTGGGACCAGGGGTCTTTTCTGAAACTGATACTCCAACCATGGAACGTGTATGGAGATTACCTAGAACCCCTGCACAGATGTAGCCCATGGCAGCTCAGTATCCACGTGGCTTCTCTTGTAAGGGGAAAAGGACTGTCTCTGACATGAACTCAGTGGCGGGCTATTTGATCACCTCTCCCTGAGGGGGGGAGCATCCTTGTTAGGCCACAGAGGAGGACAAAGCAGCTAGTCCTGATGAGACCTGATGGAAGGGGAGGAAGACCTCCCCTATTAGTAGACTTGGAGAGGGATATGGGAGGAGATGAGAGAGGGAGGGTGGAATTGGGAGGGAATGAAGAAGGGGGCTACAGCTGGGATACAAAGTGAATAAGGTCTAATTAATATAAAAATAAAAATTTAATTAAAAAACAAAATACAGTTCACAATAGCTATATCAATTTATCCCACAGACACAGCTTACAGTGACTAGGAAAACCTAAAAACTACCTTTTGTGATAAAATTTCTTAAAAACACAAAATACAATTCACAATGGCTATATCTTCCTAAATTATAAAATCCCAAAGTAGGCCAAATCCAGAATTACCTTTAAGGACATATCCCATAAAGTATAGCAATGGCTGAAAGCTATGTTTGACTCTAAGATTTCATAAAGAGACATCAGAAAAATCACATTAGCCAGATTGATGCACTTCATGTAATAAAATCCCCCACATAACCCTATATGTTATCAAATTATCCTATAATGCTTAGTTCACAATTATTATTAATTATATTATAATTATATATTATAATTATATAATATATTTAATACATAATATTTATATATTTATATCTATTAAATATATATTAAATATATAAATATATCATTAAATATATAATATAATTATATATTTATATATTATATATAATATATAAATATAATATATATAATATATATAAATATATATTATATATAATATATATTTAATATATATAATATAATATATAAATATAATATATAATATATATAAATATATTATATATAATATATAAATATATAATATATAAATATTATATATTTAATGATAAATAATTATTTTTATAATTATATTTATATATAAATTTATAATTTGCATAATAATTAAATATATAAATATTTGTTATATTAAATATTAATATATATTAAATAATATATTATATATTATTTATTTATGATGATGATAAAAAGTACATTTACCCTAATAATTCTTAAATACACAAAAGGCAAATTAAGGAAACAATATCTTTCTAAGTTATAAACCCTCACACAACCCAATTGAGGAGTCACTTGCCATCAACTAATCCCATAGGAATAGATTCCACAGGATGGCTGAAACTACCTTTTATCCTAAAGATTCTTAAAAAGACAAAATGCAATTTACAGCATCTTGGCGTTTCAATATTATAAAACCCCAAAGCAGAGCAAATTACATAAAATACAATTCACAATAGCTATATCTTTCACACCCTAAACATTTACTCTTATCAAGTATAGGTCACAATTACTGAAGGGCTCAAATCAACCCTCCATTCTTCCTTAACAACATACATGACAAATTACAACCTCAACTTGAATTCAGAGCGAATCAGGAGAAAGGAAGCCAAAGGATTGCTAGAGTCTTTTCATTTTTAAGTCAAAGAAGCACACAGCCAGCCCCAGAAACATAACCTGAAGCCACTCCACCTTACAGGGATCCAGATAGGCACATCTGGCCCCTGGAAGGCAAAAAACAAACAATATTCCAGAAGGCCTTCTTAACAACTTTCTACATCTCTTTCTTCCTCCCTACTAACATATTTACAATAAATCAATGAGGCCGGTTAACCACCAAGGCCTCCCAAAGTCCCGTAGTCTCAAAATTTGTTCCCTTAGCTCT